TTTGAAGAAAAACTGATTTGATTCTGACATATTTCATGTTTTCTCCCATCACAGACTGACTAGTTGCGAACTCTCAGAGACTGACTGTGAAATTGTGGCCTCAGCTCTAAAGTCCAGTCCCTCACATCTGATAGAACTGGACTTGAGCGACAACTCCCTGAAGGATCCAGGAGTGGATCATCTGTGTTCTGGACTGAAGAGTCCACACTGTGGACTGAAGACTCTGAGGTGAGTTCACTGACTGAAGCTGCTAGTCATTTATTTGATTGACATTCAAGTCATTTTGTCCAGTGATGAATCAAACCAAGTCTCTGTGCTGGTCCTGGTTTGACTCAGTTCTTCAGACTTGACTGGGTCAGATGTTGAAGCTCCTGCTTCATCACAGGCTCTGATGCTGTTGAGTGTCTGTTGGTGACTGAAGCTGGCTCTCAGATGAAGCTGCTGACTTGACTTGGATCAGTCAGTGTAGATAAGAGTCTGGTCCAGCTGCTGAGGACTGAAGGCTGGGCTTAAACACAGGGGCGTGGACCCAGTGATGGTCAACCCTCTGCTGAAAAATGTAGTTTGAGCCCTGACATGATATAATTGATATGGACCATCCCTAGTAAATATGAAAAGCACATAGTCACTCCAACCTGTAAATGCTCTCTGTAGTTCTTTTCTTATCAGAATAAACATAATTACCAATTAACATATGAATTTAAATGATTGTCCAGATGTTGATGAACCAAAATTGAACTGAGGCTCCTACACAGTCCTCCTGCTTCTTCAATGACCCAGTTACTCTAACACCCCCCCCCACACACACACACACCTCAACCCTTGGTATTGGGCGTGCCCCCGAACCAGAGAATGTTCAGATCAGCATTTAAAGTTGTATTATGTCCTAAAACAAAAACAACAAAAACACCTAGTTATTAATTGCATATGTATTCCCTCTTATACACAATACAAATAAACCCTAATGTATGTGATACGCATCCATCGTGTGTAAAAGAAGTCTGAACGTAAAGCCACAAACAGCAAACATGATAATCCTGTTACCTCGGGTGCAGCCTCTCTGCAGGAGATGCTCCGTGTGCACCTGTTGCAGAGGGTTTCTCCTTCTCTCCTCTCCTCCCCTCTAGTCTCCTCTCTTCTCCTCTGTCAGCAGCGCATCATTGCCTCTGGGCCAAAGTGCCACCTGAAGAAGCCTCTTGGCCAAAACATGGATTAAATACCAGCTGCTGAAGAAAATCTACTTTTCTCTTTGTCTTTTCTTCTTTATTCAGGTTGTGGGACTGCAGTTTGTCAGAGATCAGCTGTTCTTCTCTGGTCTCAGCTCTGAAGTCCAACCCCTCCCATCTG